GAGAGAGAGAGAGAGAGAGAGAGAGAGAGAGAGAGAGAGAGAGAGAGAGAGAGGTTCACTACTGCGGGTCAGAACTCCAACAAACATCTTATGCGAGACAGACATCGGCCCGCAGTAGTGAACCTCTTGCTGTTGGACAGGGAAAGACGCAGCGACAGAGAGCAGTTCACTACTGCGGGCCAGAACGACAACAAACAGCACCGGTTGACACTGATATGGCACGCAGTAGTGAACCATAAGTAGTTTGAAACGCAAAGACGCAGCACCAGCGAGAGGTTCACTACCGGGGGCCAGAACTCCAACAAACATCTCGTGCGAGACAGACATTGGCCTGCGGTAGTGAACCTTATGCGATTGGATAGGGAAATACGCATCGACAGATGAAGGTTCACTACTGCGGGCCAGAACGACAAGAAACAGCAGCGGTGGACACTGATATGGCACGCAGTAGTGAACCACAAGTAGTTGGAAACGCAAAGACGCATTCGAAGAGAGGTTCACTACTGCGGGCCAGAACTCCAACAAACATCTCATGCGAGACAGACATTGGCCCGCAGTAGTGAACCTCTTGTTGCTGGACAAGGAAAGCCTCAGCGAAAGAGAGCGGTTCACTACTGCGGGCCAGAACGACAACAAACAGCACCGGTGGACACTGATATGGCACGCAGTAGTGAACCACAAGTAGTTGGAAACGCAAAGACGCAGCACCAGCGAGAGGTTCACTACTGCGGGCCAGAACTCCAACAAACATCTCATGCGAGACAGACATTGNAGCGAGAGGTTCACTACTGCGGGCCAGAACTCCAACAAACATCTCATGCGAGACAGACATTGACCCGCAGTAGTGAACCTTATGCTGTTGGACAGGGAAAGACGCAGCGACAGATGACGGTTCACTACTGCGGGCCAGAACGACAACAAACAGCAGCGGTGGACATTGATATGGCACGCAGTAGTGAACCAGTATGTCAATACAGGAAAAGGCAGCGAGCATTATAGACAGAAAAGTTTGGACGAAGAAGTTGTAATACAGGCAGGCAGCAATAAACACACATAATTTTTTTTGTGTGTGTGTGTGTGTGTGTGATAGATAGATAGATAGATAGATAGATAGATAGATAGATAGAGAGAGAGAGAGAGAGAGACAAAGATCATGCGTCCCTGCCCACCCGCGCAGCCGCGATTTGACATCTTGTGTAGAGAGTTTTTAAGCGGTCGTTTATGTGAAATCCTTTCCTGCAATGGTGACATTCGTTATTCCCTCCATTCTGGCCTGCGTTCGTTACGACCTGCACCATCATCTCTTTGATGTACGATATGAGATGGAACAGACAATCCGCAACCAGCCTCGCCATTTGTCGTGAATTCGCTTTTGCAACGAACTTTTGAAATGTGTCCGTCGTCATAGGCAGCGCAACAGATTCTGCATCAGCACAAGGTGCTTTGCTAGCGACGACGCATGGGAAGTTGTGACGAACGTGGTGACAATTCAGTGCGGCAACATCGGTGCACGCCAGCAGGGCATGCGGCGCAGGCGCGCAGTCCCCGACAGTGGTCCCAATTCCTGTGGAGGTTTACATTGTTGTCGATTTCTTCACCTGCCTTCGTCCATTCACCTTCTGCACTTCCCATGACAACTTCGTTCGTACAAGTCACCGTCATTTCTCCATCCAACAACCTACCTCGTGTGTGTTGCATGGCATCAATGACGTCCGAGCAACTGTTCAACAGAGACGTCATATTGCGAGGAAGGTCATCCTTAGCAATCGCGACACCCTCATCACAGAAACCGTACTCGTTTACGGTTTCCTTACAGTAGCGAATACAGTCGGCTGCGAAGGCCAAGAGGTCGACGACACTGCGTGACGAAGCAGTTAGCGAACCCGTATTATATTCTTGGCTATCATACGATGTTGTGACGTGGGCGGCGAACTGATTCAAGACCGCGGTGCGCCTGCGCCTTTCACCATCCAACCATGTCTAGAACTCGTCAAACGTGGTGGTCTTCGTTTCAGCTATTGCCTTCAGTCTGGCAGTCATGTCCTCCCTCAGACGAGTTATGTCTAAACACTTTGGATTGGATAGCAACAACCAGAACACGGTGAACATCCTGTGTTCCGGAGTTTCTGTCATTTCTACGAGCAATGACTTAATACGGCCTAGTTCGTCTGACATCTGTCTCGCCAATTGTTTCTGCTTATGTACCTCGTCAGTTAGCCTGTCTATATGTTCTCGCTGCTTCTCTACTATCTGACCCCAGTTCCGATCCATCTCAGTCATCTTCTCTTTTTTGGACCCCAGTAGTAGAAAGTGATCCGCCGTTGCATCACACTCTTCGCCTGACTTTCTCTTCTGTCCGGTTTTAGCCAATCTTGACATCTGGAAATATATGTACATACAGAGAAATACATAGAGATAGAGATAGACGTAGATAGATAGATAGATAGATAGATAGATAGATAGATAGATAGATAGATAGATAGATAGATAGATAGAGAGAGAGAGAGAGAGAGACCCTCACTACTTCCATAGTTGTTGTCAGCGGGCGCCTACCAAAGATTGGCTATATGCACGTGACAACATACATTGTTATTTATTACTGTACATCTGCGTTTCCCCCGTACATGACTCGATATAACAGTGGACAACACAACTTAACGAATACAAAGTAGACCATTCTTTCCAAACGCATCCGTCGGAATGAGAGAGTGAGAGAGATAGAGACGCAGGAAAGAAAGAATGGAGGGAGAGAGAGAGAGAGAGAGAGAGAGAGAGAGAGAGAGAGAGAGAGAGAGAGAGAGAGAGAGAGAGACGCCACAAACAAAGAAAGAAAGAACCGTCCGCCAAAACTAAAATGTATGGAGTTCGCTACTGCGGGCCAAAATCACACTTATATACCTCGTTCAATGGGTTTGTGGCCCGCAGTAATGAACTCTCTCTCTCTCTCTCTCTCTCTCTCTCTCTCTTTCTCTCTCTCTCTCTCTTTCTCTCTCTCTCTCTCTCTCTCTCTCTCTCTCTCTTTCTCTCTCTCTGATTCTCTGTCTCCCATTTGTAAGAAATAGCAAAACAAAACAAAAGGAAGTAAAAAAAAAAACAAGAAAGAAAGAAGAAGAAGAAAATAAAAAAGAAAGAAAGAAAGGAAAGAGAGAAAGAGAGAAACAAAGAACAAAAGGAACGAAGAAAGGAAGGAAGAGAGAAAGAAAGAAATAAAGAAAGAGAGAAAGAAAGAAAGAAAGA